ACATGGTAAGGCTTGAAGGATGCATTCCTCGGAAGTCCTGTAGATGAGTCCTCAGCCTTTAAGTAAGTGTCCTCAGTTATTCCAGGGACATGAGAATCACTCTGTTCGAGAGGCTTAAAAGAGAAACGTGTTGAGGCATATGTCAGTAACACAGGGCAAAGGGAGCCCTCGGGGACACTGGCCCTGCCTTCTTGGTGGGTGTGACTTGCTCCTTTCCGCCCCTCCTTCTAGGACAGCATACTTTTCAGGGTCATAGTTTTCTGTTTCCAGCTTTACCTGCGTACCCCTTGCTGTTCCCAGGTGTCACGTCTTGGAACACGAAGGAGGCGGGGGTGGGTCCAGCCAGCCCCGGGGTCTTTCTCTTCGTTCTGTGGCTTCATGAATAAACTCTCCTACCACCGGCGTGGATAATGGTGAACTGATGGTACTTTGAATTTATTTAAAATTGGTTTCTATCTTCAGAATGCTTGCCTCTAGTCTTTGACCCCAGCTGTTTCTTTCTGGGGTAGGTTGGGGTGTCACTTCAGCCTCAGGAGGTCACTCCATCCACCTCAGTACCTGGAACCTTTTTGGTGCCTTTTCCCATGGACAACAAGCCAGATACAGTGCAATTACTATTTTTTAATGTTTTATTTATTTGTTAATTTAATTTTTTCTTTATTTTTTTGAGAGGGGAGGTAATTAGGTTTATTTATTTTTTTAGAGGAGGTACTGGGGATTGAACCCAGGACCTCATGCGTGCTAAGTACGTGCTCTGCCACTTGGGCTATACCCTCCCCACCAAGTGCAGTTATTAACCATTTCCCCACATTTTTGCATTGATCTAGACTGAACCAGTCAGCCAACAACATAGTATTAGGAAATTGTATACATTAGCGGAAAGACTGTGATGTTGATAAGAACGTAGCTAACAAAGCAGGCACGTGCGTTGCGACTGGTCACATAGTTTGTCTTTCTGTTCTCGGTCTTTTGACTTGGTGGGGCTGAAATGATTCTGTCAGCATCTTGGGTCCCCAGCAGTGTCCCTGCACGCCGGTCTCAGTCCTGGCTCCCAGTGTACGTTGGTCTCACCACTGTGATTACAGCCTCCCAGCCAGTGAACTCACAGAATCTCAGGCCTTCTTTTTAGTTCTACTCCAGAAATAACTCCTGGCCCTCACGACTGTACGTGCAGGGGCAGCGCCTTAAAAAACTCTGCTCACAGATGCTTTCTAGGTGGAAGTGAGTTATTTTTGGAAAGGGGGACCATGGAGAAATGGACTAACTATTTCAGATTTTTTTTTAAATCGATGAAGCCATGACTGTCAGTGCTAGCAATAAAATAGTCTCTTAGAATGATTATGCCCTGAAACCCTCAGGCAATGAGTCATTCTGCTTAGTTTCATAAGTAGTTTGTGATTCACCCTTTAAAATATCAGAATGTAAGAATTCTATGTATGTGTGTATATGTATACATGCGTGTTTAGTACTAGCATCTTATTTTCACTCCTTTGCACATCTCAGTGTCTGAAGTCTATGCAGCATAAATAGAATAAAGAACTGATGTCTTCTGCACCCAGGGTTGCCACCCTTTAATGTTCCTAGGGTCTGTTTTGAGAGATGATTTTGTTAATTCTCCTGACCCCCTTCTGTAGTTTCCCTTGAACTCTTAACTCTCACTTCCTAAGAATTTTAAAGGGTTGTCTGTGGGCGGAGGCACTTTTTCTGCTTTGCTGCTTAGGATTTTCCAGGGCTTTACAAATGACATCATCAAACTTGTTGGGTTGGACTGTGATATAAAACATCAGTAAGCTCCAAGGAAAGATCTGAGTGAGCGTAGATGCCCTGGGGGGGAGTGGAGCGTGGGTGCAGACACGTGGTTTGACAGTTTCGGGGTGCTGGGCTCCCTCTGGGTCTGGGAACGAGCCAGACAGCTTAAGTCTAGCCTCCTCTACGAAGCCTGCAAAGTGAGGGAACGGGCGGCCATCCCTGAGGCCCTCTGTTTTCAATGACCTGCAGTTCTGTGCTGGGAAGGTGACTGCTGTGCAGCTAATGGGACCTGGGGCCACGATGGAGCAGAGGAGACCGGCTCAGATGGAGCCCCAGTCTGCCCCTCTGCCCTAGCTCCCTGCTGCTGTGAACCATGCCTGCTTTCCCCTATGTGTGTAGCTGTTCCCTGCGGGCCCATCACTTCAGAACGCAATTGGCTACAACAGCAACTGCTGGGCTCTGGCTCGTCTCTCTGCAGAGTCATTAAGGGTTGAAAACGGCAGCGGCAGCCTGGATTCCCTGGGTCAGGTGGCCGAGGCCGCCTGTGTATGGGGATGGAGCCCAGCTTTTCCCCATGGACTACACACTTAAAAGCATTTGTTTACCAGATACAGAGGGCAATGATTAAATTAATAATCCCCCCCCCATTTTACATCCACTCAGATTCACACCAGCTTCAACGAGTGGACTTCAGAGCGGCCAACACCATAGTTTCAGGAACATCGTGGTGTGTGTTTGTTTGTCTGTGTTTAAATGCAGACGCTCTGGGCAGGCTGGCCCAGATTGAGAGGGTGTTTCCACAGGTAGCTTTTCTATTTTCCTTCCCCCGCCCCTTCATTCAAGTTGTTCTCTTTGGAAGCAGGCTCTCAGGGAATCTTTTGAGGCTTTCCAGAATGCCTTTCTGTTTTTCTCCATTCTTCATTGTTCTGTGTGCAGCTTCATTTCCAAAAGGATGAAATGGCCCCTGATCGCTGGGAAAGGTTTAAAGCACTGAGCTTTAATCATGGGGGTGACTCTGTTGGGTTGTTAACGTGAAATGGCTGCCCTTTGCACCTGGGGTGTATTCCTGTGATACATAGTCACCAACGGCTTTTTAGTAACTTTGCAGAGGGATTTATGCAGGGGAGTAGCCTGCCATGGTCGATACACGGTGAAGCAGCATCACTTGTCTGGGCAAATCCATCTGTAGCCTTTAGTGAAACAGCTTTTTAAAAGAGCGTGAGGATTGCAGCAAGCTTAGTGAGTGCTCCGTAATGTTTCGTGACCATGGAGACAGGTGGGTGCTGTGTGCCGGCTGCTCTTTCTCTCACAAAACTTGGAAAACCGCCATTCCCTCCTCTGGGACCTGGGGCCCCTTAGACAGGGATTCCCGCCGGAGACTTGATTTGAAGTCCCTTTAGTTTCCCTTGCAGCACAGCAGACCACCTGGTGCTTAGGGCCACTTAGAGCTTCGGGCCAGCAGCAGGCTGTCACCAGTGTGGCTGAAGCCGGAGCCACTGGGACAGCAGAGAGATGCTGTGGGTTCCTGGGTGTCTGGTACTTTTTAGGAACTTGTACACTTGATAATTATTTGGAAATTCTAAAGCTGCCCTGTGTCTGACATCGGTTCACACAGACAAGGGTGTCTCCAGAAGGCAGAGTAAGTCACTTTGGGGTAAAGAGAGGTCAGACTGTTATCGACCAGAGTTCTTGGTCTCCTTAATCAATAAGAGGCCAGACGAGAAATTCAGGTAAGGCTTTGTTGTGATTCCTGCTATAGCACCAGGGAGCAAAAACAAGTAACCGGTTCCTTGCTCCTTACTTGGGTAGGGGTGAGCTGATCTGTTACATGGGGTGAGGGTGGGGCCAGATCAGTGTGTGGGGCTGGAGTGGTGGCTTAGGTGGTCCACCCACCCCCTTGGTGGTGCTGTGTGCAGGGATCTTACGCAGTCCCCTGCTTCTGCTCCTGGCACTTCAGAAATGGCAGTTGGGTTTTTGTGTCTTGTTCATAATTTGCCCTCACTGCCAGTGCATGCAGTTGTATTTAGCCCCTTATAGTTTCTTTCTGTTCTGTTGCTCGAGGAGACATTTGTCCAGGTGTGAGCCCTGCAGCACAAGGTCCCAGGTCCCGGCCAGTCTCAAAACCAGAGCAAAGGCTGAAGCTAGGTGTCTTTGATGCCTCAGGAGGGAACTGAAAAGTGGCTGAACTGTTCTGAGCCTCTGGGAACATTGTCTTACAAGAACCTTTCCACTGGTACAGGAATATGTGTCCTCTGGATGTAGGGGGAAAAATACCAAGATTGACCATATTTATCTTTTTTTTTCGGCTTAGAATTTTTAAGCGACATTTAAGTATTATGGAATGATT